AGCAATTTTTAGTCAATATCAAAATAAAGAGGGGCAATTCTATGTAAAATCAAGAGAAATGTGGAACATGGAAGGGTCAATTTCAGTTTTGAGGGGTCGATGGGCCCATGAGGGCCCCCCTCCAGGAATATCCCTGCCTTATTAGCAGTGTTATACTTCTAGATATAATATAATGATTCCAGGCCTAGATCGTGCAAGCATATCATTTACATTATAATGTGGGTGAAACCTAATTTTTTATGCATCTGTCATGAAACTGGGGAGCATATATAGCACTACCAATTTGTCCGTTCATCCAATCTAAGCCTCATCATTAGGTCTTCTGTAGTTTTAACTCATCACAATTAACCAATATAAGGTGTAGTGTTAATTTTTAAGTATCTGGCTGGTAGCTTCCTGGGCCAAAACCTGATAAACAATTGGGAGAAAATAACATTGAGCTATATTCAAGGTCAAAGGTCATTTTTTTTGATGAAAAATTAAGGCCTAGATTCATGATATTGGAGTAGTAACTGATTGGTATGGGATGTTACAAAGTTAATGAAAAGAAATGACCTTGACCTATATTCAAGGTCACAACTCCCAAATTTAATATCTCAAACACCTTTGGGGAAAACCAGTAGTACTAACAAAACTTGGTACGCATGATCAATACTTGGTTATTTGCATTGACAATTTATTTTTTATTTTAACTATTTTCATGGGAGGTATGCTTAGCCACCTTTTTTGTGCAAGCTAGATTATTTGGCAAGTTACAGTACATTTCTTGTTTGATTTAATCATAGCCTATTATGAAACCTTTAAAATTATTTATTACTTGTTTATAATTTGTAATAGACCCAGAATAAAGAAACCAGTGAAGAAGATGGGACATATTTGAAACACCGAATTCTGTCACCAGATTCGAGAGTAGTACCCACATACACTGATCGAACCAGACAGGAAACTCTTAATGGCCAGACAGATTTGCTTGACACTCAGGAACGTGAGACATTGCCTCCAAGGACACCAGTAAAAGCGCGAAGAGGTAGACCAAGTAGGAGGCAAAATTATCAATATCGACGTGACAGAGTTGTGTCCCCTGAACATTCCAACATTTTTGAGAACTACAGCAGCTTTACTTCAGAGAATTTCCACCACCAGGGTCACCATGGGACCGTAGAGCATGCTAGCTTCCATAGCCGGGAGAGAACACCAGTACAGAACAGGAAACGAGGACGGGACTCGACCTCCAGGTCAAGGACACCTGCTAGGTCAACAAAACAAGTAAGGCAAAATAAAAGAATCTGAATACACTTCATTTTCGGGGTTTATTATGCCTATATATTTGAGGTCAAAATACAGCTTTTTGGTATTTTCACAAGTAAATGCTACTGTTATCAGAGATTATGATTGGTCAGGTCAGTCTACGAAAAGTAATGAAAAAGGTGATATCATTCACAGTAGAAACTTTACTTTTACCATAAAAACCTTCAGATACTTTCCACATGTCAAAATGCATAAATATATCCAATATGGACATGGATCAATGAACATTTACCAGTAAGTTCCATTTTACAGCGACTTTTTGAGACGCACAGTGGATTTACACCTGTCAAACTGCCTGATGTAGTACCAGTAACACCAGGGACGCCTAGATCCAACCCACCACAGAAATCTCCCTTCACAGCTCTCAGCTCGGACAACCATCCACAAGTAGGTGTCGCTGTCAATCCCAATCTCTGTATCGTTATATCGCTTCTATGTGCTATATATCATCAACAGTCACGTCCAACCTCTGTCATTTATCAGTCACTCCCAAACTCTCTCTCATTGATCACTTCTAAGAGCTGTATAATTACGCATATCATCGACAGTCATGTCCAGCCTCTGAAATTCACGTCTGACCCATATCATCAGGTACATTGGACCTCTGTATCATTTATCACTTCCGAATGCTGTACAAATGCTCAATACATTTCAATCTGTATTATTGGTTGCTTGACCTCAATCGTCACATAGCCACTTTCCAATCTGTCTCATCATATAGTAACTTTCTGATCAGACACTTTTGACCTCTGTTTCAACCGTCACTTCTGACCTCTTTTTCATCTGTTACTATTGACCTCTGACCTATGTTTCAACAGTCACCTCCGACCTCTACCTTATCAGTCACTTTTGACCTCTGTTTCATCAGTTACTACTGACCTCTGACCTCTGTTTCACCAGTCACTTCTGACCTCTATTTCATCAGTTACTTCCGACCTCTTATCTTGTCAGAGTAACTCTTGGAAAATACAAAGGAAATATTAAAATAATATTTAAGGCTAAAACTCTATACAAATAAGTCACAATTTTCCTCTCTTATACAAATAAGTCACAATTTTCCTCTCTTAGGATAGCCCACCAAGAGATGAGATTTGTATGGCGCCGGACCTGTTATTTAGCCCTCTGGACACCGCAAAACTGTTGTGTACAGAGTCTATGGATCTCATGGACTTAGATGATGGACACCAGCCCAATGAAAAGTAGGTTTGAACCAATCAAAAGTAGGTTTGAACTAATCAAAAGTAGGTTTGAAACATTTTTGAGTACATGAAACACCATTTACAAGTTCAAGTTGTCTACACAAAACTTTGTTTACAAAACCCTTACATTGGGCTGATGTTAGTTAAGTAACTTTAAAATGTTGAGAGGATGTGAATGAATGAAGTACATAATTGGAGTTACCTGCTCATGAAGCTATTCCCCTTTGTATAAAAAGCACAGTTTGCACTACTCTGAAGAAAGTACTGCATCAATTTAAATGATGGGCTGATTGGTCTAGTGGTTAACACTTCGTCCTTCCACGCAGACAGCCGGGGTTCGATCCTCGAAGTCGTCGTATGCATGGAATATCAGA